CTCACCATGCACACCCCCAACCCCATCCCCACCCACAACCCCCACCCCCACCACACACCCCCACCTGCAACCCCCACCCTCACCAGCAACCCCCACCCTCACTGTGCACTCCCCCACCCGCAACCCTTACCCTCATCACACACCCCCTGACCCATACCTTCTCACCTCCCACCCACACCCCCACTCACAACCCTCACCCTCACCATGCACACCCCCATCCACACCTCCACCCCCCACCTGCACCCCACACCCACAGTCACACCCCCAGACTCCAATCTGCAAACCCCACTCCCCACCCCCACTTGCACCCCCCACCTTCCCATCCCCCCACTCGTCTCCACCCCCTCCCTTCCTTGTGCACATAAACAAGTCTCACCTATTGCAACTGTAACCAATACGAAGCAGGAGAGCAGGGACTAGCTCCACCCTCTCGCCCCAGTTCTAGCGCCAGACGCCACGGAGTTTCTGTAGGTGCACAGCACTCCAGCCATGGCACGTTCGCGAATCTATGACAACAAATTCTACTACCTGAATATATACCAGGTAGAAGAAAATCCCATACCTGAGCTAGGGGCAGCATCAAGGGCCGAAGACAATGGTGGCCAAGGAGATCCAGGCCTCATGGGTAATATGAACCCCGAGGGCAACATGAACGCCGAGGGCCGCGTGAACCCCGAGGGCGACATGAACCCTGAGGGCCGCGTGAACCCCGAGGGCGACATGAACCCCGAGGGCCGCGTGAACCCCGAGGGCGACATGAACCCCGAGGGTCGCATGAGTCCTGATGGCGGCGTGATTCACGAGGGCGGAGGTGGAAACCAAGAGCCTGTGCAGCAACAGCGGCCCTGGGAGGAGCCGGCCCAGGCGGCCATGGAGGATCCGCAACCCGAGAACTGGGAGCCACCAATCCGGCGCAAGAAGTTCACGCGGCTGCAGGTACAGGAGCTGGAAAGCATTTTTGAATTCACTCAATACCCTGATGTGTTCACAAGGTAAGTGGCTTGCTCCAGGGGCCGCGAGATATCCATGTTTGTTTCGAGGCCTCTTTTTCTCTCATTTGCCCCACCTAATCATTAGGAAAAAGCCACTGGGGGTCCTTGCTTGCTTTTGTGCTGCGGTGGGGGTGGGAATATTTACCTCGTGGGCATCAAGGTAATATTTTATTGCAATGTTTATGTGAAAGAAACCTGGAAATTAGTTCGTGCCTCCCTTTTTTAAAGTTGTGATAAAATACACAGAAATATGAAATTTGCCATCTAAACCAGTTAAGTACGTTCACACTGTTGTGCAATAGCTCTTTAGAATTCTTCTTATCTTGCCAAGCTAAATGTCTACACCAATTAAGCAGCTCCCCTTTTCCCCCTTTCCCCAGCCCCTGGCAACCGCCATTTTACTATTTTACTTTATGTCTCTATGAGGTTCCTACTCTCATCGTGCACCCCCCAACACGCACCTCCCCAATTCCCACCCACACCTCCAACCCCCACCCTCACCGTGCACGCCCCCACCCTCACTGTGCATGCCCCCACCCACATCCCCACTCCCACTCACAGCCCCCACCCTCACCGTGCACACCCGCACCCGCACCCCCCACGACCCGCCCGCAACTCCCACCCTCACTGGGCACACCCCACCCCCCACCTATATCCCCACCCCCTCACTGTGTGCCCCCACCCACAACCCCTACTCTCATCACGCACCCCCCGACCCGTACCTCCTCACCTCCCACCCACACCTCCAACCCCGACCTGCAGCCTCCACCCACATCCCCACTCCAACCACATTCCCACCCCCACTCACAACCCCCACTCTCACCGTGGACACCCCACCCACACCCCCATCTGCACCCCACACCCACAGTCATAACCCCTGACTACAACCTGCAACCCCCCACTCCCCACCCCCACCCGCACTCTCCACCCCGACCTTCCCATTCCCCCCACTCCTCTCCAGCCCCTCCCTTGCTTGTGCGCATATGCAAGTCTCACCCATTGCAACTCTAACCAATACCATGCATGAGAACAGGGACTAGGTCCACCCTCTGCCCCCCCCAGGAGGTGCGGGTGGGGGGGATGCATTATATGAGGTACTTCTCTGCTAGGTCCCTCATATAAATAGAATCATACAGTATTTGTATTTTTGTCACTGACTGACTTCACTTAGCCTAAGGTCTTCAAGGTTCATCCATATCACAGCATGTATTAGAATCTCCTTCCCTTTTAAGGCTAAATAGTATTCTAGTTAATAGACACACACACACACACACACACCACATTTTATCATTCATCTGTGAAAGGGTATTTGGGTTGTTTTTATCTTTTGGCTGTTGTAAATAATGCTGCTGTCAACATGAGTATACAAATATCTCTTCAAGTCCATGTTTTCAGTTCTTTTGGGTATATATATTCCCAGATATGGAATTGCTGGATCATACGATAATTCTGTGTTTAATATTTTAAAGAACCACATACTCTTTTCTATAAAGACTGCATCATTTTACCTTCTCATCAACAGTATATGGGGGTTCCAGTTTCTCCACATCCTCACCAACACTTGTTATTTTCTGGGGTTTTTTATTTTTTACATAGTCATCCTAATGGTTGTGAGGTGATGCTTGATTGTAATTTCGATTTGCATTTCCCTAATGCTTAGTGATGTTGTGCATCCCTTCATGTGCTTAGTGACCACTTGTGTATCTTTTTTGGAGAAATGTCTCTTTAACTCCTTTACCCATTTTGAAATCTAAGTGTTTTTTTTCTTTTTTCTTTTTTTTTTTTTTTTTTTCTTTTTTTTTTTTGGTTATTGGGTTGTAGGAGCTCTTTATATTTTCTGGATATTAACCTCTTATCAGATGCAATTTGCAAATGTTTCCTTCCGTTCTATGATTTGTCTTTTTATTCTGTTGACTGTATCTTTTGATATACAGAAGTTTTTAATTTTGATATAGTCCAATTTATCTATTTTTTCTTTTATTACCTGTGATGATGGCCTGTTTCTGTTGTTGTTGTTGTTTTTGAGTGATGGGGGGATCTGTCACCAAAGCTGTACTCCTGGCCTCAAGCAATCCTCCCACCTCACTCGGCCTCCCGAGTTGCTAGGATTATGGGAGTGAGCCACCACACCCAGCTCTAGTCTGTTTTTATAAATAAAATTTTGTTGAAATTGGAGTAAGGAGAATGAGATACTATCATGCAGCTACAGTGCTAGATTCTTCCTTTATTTAAAATTTTGATAATCTGTTCCTCGTAGGGTTTTTTTTTTTTTTCGTTTGGTTGGTTGGTTGGTTTTTTGTTTTTTGATTGTTCTGTTTTTGAGACAGAGCTTCTCTCTGTGGCCCAGGTTGGCGTTCAATGGTACGATTTTAGCTCTCTGCAACCTTCGCTTCCTGGGTTCAAGTCATCCTCCTGCCTCAGCTTCCCAAGTAGCTGGGACTGCAGGTGCAGGCCACCACGCCTGGCTAATTTTTGTATTTTTTGTGTAGAGATAGATAGGGTTTCACTACGTTGCCCAGACTGGTCTCACTGGGCTCAATCGACCTGCCCACCTAGGCCTCCCAAAGTGCTGCAATTACAGGCCTGAGCCACGGCGCCTGGTCCTCATCATAGATTTTTGCATTAATTGTTATTAAAATCGTGCATTAGGGCCAGGCGCGGTGACTCAGGCCAGTAATCCCAGCCCTTTTGGGAGGCCAAGGTGGGAAGATTGCTTGAGCCCAGGAGTTTGAGAACAGCCTGAGCAACATGGAGAAATCCTGTCTCTACATAAAACTTAAAAAATTAGCTGAGCGGGTGTGGTGGTGTGTGCCTGTACTCCCAGCTACTTGGAAGGATGAGGAGGAAGGATCGCTCGAGCCCAGGACATGGAGGCTGCAGTGAGCGGTGATCCTGCCACTGCACTCAAGCCTGGACAACAGTCTCAAAAAAGAAATGCGTTGAAATTATTTATCTTGGCCAGGTGTGGTGGTTCATGCCTGTAATCCCAGCACTTTGGGAGGCTAAGAAAGGCAGATCACCTGAGGTCAGGAGTTTCAGACCAGCCTGGCCAACATGGCAAAACCCCATCTCTACTGAAAATGCAAAAATCAACTGGGTGTGGTGGCATGTGCCTCTATAATCCCAGCTACTCTGGAGGGTAAGGCACAAGAACTGTTTGAACCCTGGAAGCAGAGGTTGCAGTGAGCTGAAATCATGCCACTGCACTCCAGCCTAGGAGACAGAGCAAGATCTTATCTCAACATTTTTTTAAAAAAAGTATTTCTCTGGCTGGGTGCAGTGGCTCACGCCTGTAATCCCAGCACTTTGTGAGGCCGAGGCAGGTGGATCACCTGAGGTCGGGAGTTCAAGACCAGCCTGACCAACTTGGAGAAACCCCGTCTCTACTAAAAATACAAAATTAGCCAGGCATGGTGGCGGGTGCCTGTAAGCCCAGCTACTCAGTAGGCTGAGGCAGGAAAATCGCTTGAACCCGGTAGACGGAGGCTGCGGTGAGCAGAGATAGCACCATTGTACTCCAGCCTGGGCAACAAGAGCAAAACTCTGTCCCCAAAAAAGAAAAGAAGTATTTCTCTTGATTACTGAATTGTTAATGTCACCTTAAATTTTGTGGTAAGAGTAAACCATTTCTAAAGCAACCATGGAGCTGGGAATTAGAGAAAAGTATATACTGGCAGGATGTGTGAGGGGAGATTATAAATTGTAAAACAAGCATGAAGTGTACATACCATGTATTTCATTTCATCCACAACTTTGAATACTAACCATGTATGATTTTCTCTCCACAGAAGGGAACTTGCCGATGCCATCGGAGTGCCTGAAGACAAAGTGCGGGTCAGTAAACCTGTAAAGGCAATTTGAGAGGACAGCCATTCTAAAACCTGCTTCAGGGCACTGAAGGCTTTGTCCTGAACATTCCTGAGTTGTGTTTTTGTTATTGTCTTTTTGTGTTGGCAAATAGTATTGAAGTTTGGGTTCTTTGTTGGTAGAAAAGGGAGTAAGCTCCACCTTGTGGTCCTTTCCTCTTTACCATTTCCACTAGGGAACATGATTTCCTAAAGGAAAAACAAAACAAAAAACTGTTTCTCCTAATCTGTATAGAAATTTAAACAAATACATACATAGGAAACACATATATGTATGAAATATATATAATACATATATGTGTATATGTATGTATCCAATTAATAAAATTCAACTCCTTCTAACACTGGCATCTTTTAGGAGCGATTTCTGTGTAGAGTTATGGTGGGGTTCAATCTTACCCTAGAAGTATTCAAGTAAATGCAGGGAGGGGCAGGGTTATAAGAGGGTCAAGTGTGCTAAATTATTTAAAGCCAGGCATAAGCACTTAGCTAAATGAGTAAATTTATACATACTGGGATGAGGGAGTAATTCACCCACAGAACACATTACATGATTAAATAGTGTATATTTAGTTAAGCTGAGACTGATGGGGAGATAACTTAAATGTCCAAGTGCCTGGTCCTTCTTCTTTTGTTTTTAAGTTATTGGTAAAGCAGTGGCCGGGCACGGTGGCTCAAGCCTGTAATCCCAGCACTGTGGGAGGCCGAGGCGGGTGGATCACGAGGTCAAGAGATCGAGACCATCCTGGTCAACATGGTGAAACCCCGTCTCTACTAAAAATACAAAAAATTAGCTGGGCATGGTGGCGCGTGCCTGTAATCCCAGCTACTCAGGAGGCTGAGGCAGGAGAATTGCCTGAACCCGGGAGGCGGAGGTTGCGGTGAGCCGAGATCGCGCCATTGCACTCCAGCCTGGGTAACAAGAGCGAAACTCCGTCTCAAAAAAAAAAGAAAAGCAGTTTAGAGAGTACAGCAGTCCTAAGTTTTAATTTTCTAAAATACGTTGATGGGTCAACCTGAAAACATTGCTAAAATAGTCACATTATGGTTGGAGTTGGGGAAGGTTTGTAAGCTTCGGAAATTTGTCTAAAGAATAAAACAAAATGAGTAATATTGAATTCATTTCAGTTGACCAAGAAGGGTGAAAAGGTTAGAGAAAAATGTGGTCAAAATAGGCTTTGCACATACTGTACAAATTCACCATTATGAAACTACTAAACGTATAAGTGACTGTTATCTTGAGGAATTTCTATCCATCTAAGGATTTGTATTTATTTTTGGTGGCACTTTTTTGAAGAGGTGGGTTTTCTACAATTTGTTTGGAGAGGTGGCCCTCATTTTAGGGTGAATTCACACCCATGTTAATTTCAAATACTTTTCATTCCTTTAAACAGTGTTGACTAATTTGTAGGTCATAATATTCAAATGATGATTACTTGAGACCAAAGAAACCCATAGGTAGTATCGGCCAAGCACGATGACTCATGCCTGTAATCTCAGTCCTTTGGGGGTCCAAGGCGGGTGGAACTGCTCAGGAGTTCTAGAGCAGCCTGACCAACATGGGGAAACCCCATCTTCACGAAAAATACAAAATTAGCCAGGCATGGTGATGCATGCCTGTAATCACAGCTACTCAGGAGGCTGAGGCAGAAGAATCGCTTGAACCCGGGAGGCAGAGGTTTTGGTGAGCGGAGATAATGCCATTGCACTCCAACCTGGGCGCAGCAAGAGCGAAACTCAAAAAAAAAAAAAAAAAAAGTAAACGAAACCATATGTAGTATCAAAGTGATGTTTTTTAAAAAAAGAAAAGAAAACAAAAATCAGGATGACCTTATTGTTAGCTTTGCTGCAGAGTGCACCTGTGAGTGTAGTGAGGGAATTGCACTGCAGATCTGGTGGTGGTTTGTCCAGAAAAGCAGCCCAACAAAGCAGATTACTGAGTGCTGGCATCCTAATGCCAAAGGGTGGGCTCACAATCAGACCTGGTTCGGGTTGGAGAAGTTGCAAAGAGGTTGGGATAACTTTTGTTGGGCTGGTAAACTCAGAGGAAAAGAAAAACAAGGTTCGGTGAGTTGCTTTTCTCCTCCCTGAGTTTACATACTGTTCTCTCCATAGTGTTCTGAAAAGAATATGAGCCACAAGATAGAAACAAGGGAAGAGAGAGAGTGTTCTCATGTAACTTTAAACTATACAGCATAAATATCCCCCAAGAAAGTAATACATAGATTCTCCATAGCTTTTGCTGCTGTAATGTAGCTGTTTTATGAAACCAGTATTGGAAACACAGACCTAATATCAGAGCATACCAGTTAACCCACTGTACACTTTGGTTATTTTTTTTTTCTTTTCTTTGTTTTTCCTTTTTTTTTCTTTTGTATTTGGGCTCTGGGGTACATGTGCATGTCCTGCATCCTGCAGGATTGTTGGATAGGTACATACAGGCCATGGTGGTTTGCTGTCTCCATCCCCCAGGCCCTGCTGCGTCGCCTACGTCAGACATTTCTCCCCGAGTTATCCCTCCCCTCAACCCCCCCCCACCTAGCCCTGTGAGTGTTGTTCCCTTCCCTGTGCTCAAGGGTTCTCATTGTTGTCACCTGCCTATGAGTGAAAACATGCGGTGTTTGATTTTCTGCTCTTGTGTCAGTTTACTGAGAATGATGGTTTCTAGATTCATCCATGTCTCTACAAAGGACACAAACTCATCATTTTTTATGGCTGTATAGTATTCCATGATGTATATGTGCCACATTTTCCTTGTCCAGTCTATCATCAGTGGACATTTGGGTTGGTTCCAGGTCTTTGCTGTCGTAAACAGTGCTGCAATGAATATACGTGTGCATGTGTCTTTATGATAGAACGATTTATGATCCTTTGGGTATATACCCAGTAATGGGATTGCTGGGTCAAATGGAATTTCTATTTCTATAGATCCTTGAGGAATCGCCACACTGTCTTCCATAATGGCTGAACTAATTTACACTTCCCAGTGGCACAATTGAGACCTCCCAAAAGGAGCTCTTTTAGACTTTTAGACACTGGCCTCAAGACTATATATTCATGCAGCAGAAAGACTGAAAATCATTAAATTAGACAGTGATAAAGACGTGACAGTCAGAGAAAGAAGGCCTTCCGTGCCGTTTGAGAACTTTCAAAAGTAATAAATACAGTATAAACTCCGTTAACTAGAATGCTGAGAGGATAGTGACATCTAACTGACAGGTTCTTTTTGTCTGTTTGCTGTTTAATTGTTGGCAGATATTTAGGGAGGAGCCATATTTGTGGCCCTTCCCCCACATTGATATTAACCATGTTCCTAAAATGCTGGTTCCACCTTTCTGTCTTAGGAATATGGGGTGGGATTCAGATCTCCTGGTTGAGTAGCAGGGCCTAGGGTGTCCTGCCATGCTGGACTATAGCACCTCCAGTGCAGAATCCTGGAAGTGTAGCTAAAACAGTGTGAGCTGACCTTGTCCTGAGCCGAGGAAGGTCTGGAGAGTGCAACAGGTTGGAGAACGAAGAATTGACATTGGTGACAATGGTATGCCTCTTTCCCCTAAACTATTGGGTGGGCAAAGATTTTTGAGAATTTCAGTCAATTTGGGTCGAGTTGGTTTCAACTTTCCTTAATGCTACAGGCTAAAATATCAAGGAGTGTCCAGGCCTCTCTTGCCAGAGGACGAATAATCCCTTAAGCATGCTGGAAGGAAATCTGTCTAAAATTCCAATGTGGTCTTTCCTATTATTTACTACATACTAAAGATGGATTTTTTAAACAGTCCCCTGAAAACGACTTGAAATTAGGCCCACTTTTTATCGTGCTGAACCTCTCCCACAAATAAGTTGAAACTCTCCCTAGTGAGGAGGGAGTAGGAGGCAGCTGGATAGCTGATGGTCACTTGTCAGATGCAGACCTTTTGTTACCCTGTTGCCAGGCATTGAATTAACAGCAAGAACCTGAAACAACTCATAAGCCAGAACTGCATCCAATACCTGGAAGTAACCCTTAAAGAATATTAAAATTGGGGCTGGGCACAGTGGCTCATGCCTGTAATCCCAACACTTTGGGAGACCAAAGTGGGAAGATTGCTTGAGGCCAGGAACTCGAGACCAGCCTGGGCAACATAGTGAGACCGTCTCTACAGAAAAATAAAAACAGCTGGGCATAGTGGCATGCACCTGTAGTCCCAGCTATGTGGGAGGCGAGGTAGGAGGATCTCTTGAGGCCAGGAGTTCAAGGTCACAGTGAGCTGTGATTGCACCACTGGACCCCAGCCCAGGCAAAAGAGCAAGACCCTGTCTCAGTAGCTAGATAGATAGATAAAATAAAATGGAGGAGAGAGATACAAAGTAATAAGCTCATTCTGGGGCTTGGCACAAAGTTGGTGCTCACTAAGGGTGAGCTGAAGGGCCAGGGGATGTGTTACTAACTTTCCTAAGGTATTTTAGCAATGAGGAAATAGCTTTTCCTGATGTAGTTTAAAATCTTAATAGCATATAAGGTTGCATCCTGTGTTTTTCTATTATGACATTAACTATTCAATATACTAAACCAATCTCTTTTTTCCCTCTGATTGTAGGTTTGGTTTAAGAATAAAAGGGCCAGGTGTAGACGACAACAGAGGCAATTAATGCTCGCCAATGAACCACCTCCTGAACCATCTTCTGATCCAGATGACAGTTTCTACATCGTCTTGGATTAGCCCTAGAATGCTATCCTTCTTCAGGAGCTAGTTTGGAGACGGGTTTTTCTGGTGCCACTGACACCTGGGCTGCCCATGCCACTCATGCTGCCCTTATCTCCTTTAAAGTTATGTTATATCAATAAAGAGGCAAATTCTCAATATATTTGTTTCTGTGTGCCAATTGTGGTTAGTAGGGTATGGGTGCAAATTGTTTTTAAAAAGCCATTTAAGGCAGGGGAAGGTGGATCACAAGGTTAGGAGTTCAAGACCAGCCTGGTCAAGATAGTGAAACCTCATCTCTACTAAAAATACAAAAAAAATTAGTTGGGCATGGTGGTGAGTGCTTGTAATCCTAGCTACATGGGACGCTGAGGCAGAGAATTGTTTGAACCCAGGAGGGGGAGGTTGCAGTGAGCCAAGGTTGTGCCGCTGCACTCCAGCCCAGGCGACAGAGTGAGACTGCATCTCAAAAAAAAAAAAAAAGTCATTTAAACAAAATGACAAGGAGGGCTCCTTTCATGAAATGACATCCCTTAGTTGCCATCAGCAATAGGCCCTACATATCATAGAAGTTTACTAAGTGTCATTGTTAGTTTGCACTGACCTATACATTCTTCTCCACTCCCCCTCCCTACCCCTGCCATCATGCCATCCTCCTCACCACCTTGCCCCTTTAAGGACCACAAATATGTGCAAGAAGGGGTGAAGCAGATTCCTGGTGAGACAACAGTGTATTTCCAGGTAGAGGTGAGTTCCATTTATGCTGACTAGTTATGTCCAAATTGTGGACTCTAAAGAGAAACTTCCTAGGCAGCTACTCACAGGATTTATACGAAGGTGGCAGCTGAACATTGATCCAATATGCTCCAAATTTCTGTTCACTACCCTCCCTTTCTGTGGAGGACACAGGGGAATAGGAGCCATTCTGCCCCCAAAGGTCCTGCTTCAAAAGAAACACAAGCAAAAATTTCATTAAGGCCAAAAAGAGGTTCTTCTCCCTTTTCTCCCCTCCCCCCAGCCCAGGAAGTGTATTGTTATACCTCCTTCAGCTCATAAGCAGCTGAACAATCCTTCAAATGTATTTTGTCGCCTTTAACATCCTCGAGAGAACCCCACTTCCTGCTGATTACAAGGTGAAAGGGGACCTTTTCATTTAGTGCTGCTCAAAGGAGAATAAGAAGATGATGCCCTGAGCAATGTTTCAGAATAACCACTCACTGGAATGAAGCAGTCAGACCTCTGCTTTGCTCATGCTATTGTAAACCAAAAATAAAATTTGAAGCCCCCCACCTATCTGAATGGATCCTTCCTCTCAGCCAAGGGTATTCCAAAGTTAACCTGAAAAAATAGCTCATGTCATGATGGGAAGTAGGGGTCAGACATGCCTTATTATTTCCTGCTGCCTTTTGGAATTTATGGACAACTGACCAGTAATAATATTAGAACAGAACTTAAGACTAACAGACTGTAGCAATAAGACACCAATTTCCAGCCTGACTCTAGTATAGCATCACATGACAGCAGGCCCTGAAAGAAATCAAAAGTATTTTACCCTATATATTTCTTTGCCATATTTTGAAGTAGTCCTGCAAAGCTGTCTCTTGTGGGTGAAAATGTACATCCTGAAGAGAATCCCCTTTCTGTGCAGGCCTTTTTCCTGATCCAGGAGAGAATCATCTCTACTAAGAAATATTTACAAACTATTCTCTCTGAAGCTGGCTACCTGGAGGCTTCCTCTGCATAATGAGAACCTGGTCTCCACAACCCCTTACCCTAATGCAGACACTCTCTTGTACTGTATTTAAGTCTTTAGACAGTAACATGACTCCAACCAATGGCCAACCAGAAAATTTGAATCTACCTATTACCTAGAAGCTCCCACTTTGAGTTGACTCACCTTTCTGGACAGAATCAATGTACATCTTGCATGTATTGATTGATGTCTTATGTCTCCCTAAAATGTATAAAACCAAGCTGTAGCCCAACTACCCGGAACACATATTCTCAGGATCTCCTGAGAGCTTCCATGGGCCATTGGTCACTCATATTTGGCTCAGAATAAATATATTTTATAGAGCTTTATTCTTTTCATCAACACTATCTTCTTTGTGTGAAATTTCCAGGATAGAAGAAAACAAAAACAAAAATAAATTAGAAAAATGAAGAGGCCCAGTCCATTTTTTAAAGCATAAAGTTCTCCTGAGCTTAACCTTCGTTTTTGAGTAATCTTTAGCAATATGAGTCTCCTTCAATGGAGTTTTATGTTAAAAGTGATTGAGGACACCATGGTTATAGTATAAAGTGATTGCAATGGCTACAGATAAGGTACCAGAGTCATCCCGCAATTTCCTCCCATGGGTCTTAATCAAAGACCAGTTTAATTGTTCTCATATGTTCCCAGTGTAAAGGAAGGCTCTGTTTCCTTAGGAAACCATGCCATGGTGCCTGCTGATTTTAATTCCTTTCTTCTTTTATTTCCATTTGTGATTGTCAAATGTCAGCAAAGTAGTGTACATAATGTGTGGCTTCCACAGAGACAAGGTGGTTATTGCTGCACAGAATCCCAGGTCCTGTTGGGAGTGTGGAAAATCCAAGAAGAATGTACCTCTGTATAGCCATTCTCACAGGATGATATTCAAACAAAAAAATTATTTCCCAGTGTTAATCACTTTCCTTCTAAAACAGTAAATTTCTCAGTGCTTTAAGCAGCCTCAGAACTAATGTGTCTGTACAAATAAGCTCCACAACACCATTAAACCCAGGCCTGACACCTTCTCTGCACTGGCCACAGCTGAAACTGAAAGCCAGAGGGTGCTCAGCAGAAATCCTCAATCAATCCTCACATCCAGTCTGACACACACTGGCAGAAAATATTCTTTTTCCATGCCCATATTTCCTGGAAGAAGCAAAATAAAAGTGAATACATTTCCCAGAAGTGGATAGCATCTTCAAGAGTCATATACACCATTTTTAAATGTGTCTCTAATTCCAGGTGCCAGAAATTAAGGCAAGATAGTGGTATGAGGCAGAAAAGATAAGCAAAACATTGCTGTACATGGTAATTTACCTGCAGTCTAGGTTTTCAAAGAGAGAGATCCTCTAAAATTAATCCCACAAAGAACACTTCTCTTTTTTTTAATTTTCTCATTTAACTTTCATTTTAAGTTCGGGGGCACAAGTGCTGATTTGTTACATAGGTGAACTTGAGTCATGGGGGTTTGTTGTACAGATTGTTTCATCACGCACGTATTAAGCCTAGTATCTATTAGTTATTTTTCATCATCCTCTCCCTCCTCCCACCTTTCAGTAGGCCCCAGTGTGTGTTGTTCCCCTCCATGTCTCCTTCCGTTGTCATCATTTAGCTCCCATTTATAAATGAGAATATGCAGTATTTGGTTTTCTGTTGCTGCACTAGTTTGCTCAGGATAATATTCTTTTTTATGGCTGCATAGTACTCCATGGTGTATATGCACCACATTTTTTTTATCCAGTCTATCACTGATGGGCATTTGGGTTTATTCCATGTCTTTGCTATTGTGAACAGTGCTGCAATGAAATACATGTGCATGTATCTTTATAATAAAATGATTTATATTTCTCTGGGTATATACCCAGTAATGGGATTGCTGGGTCAAATGGTATTGCTGATTCTAGGTCTTAGAAGAATCACCACATTGTCTTTCCCAATGGTTAAACTAATTTACATTCCCATCAACACTGAAAAAGCCTTCCTATTTCTCTGCAGCCTTGCCAACCTCTGTTGTTTCCTGATTTTTTTAATAATTGCCCTTCTGACTGACATGAGATGGCATCTCACTGTGGTTTTGATTTACATTTCTCTAATGATCAGTGATGTTGAGCTTTTTTTTATATATGTTTCTTGGCTGCATAAATGTCTTCTTTTGAGAAGTGTCTGTTCATTTCATTTGCCCACCCACTAGAAATGTCAGGTGATGGTTCAGGAATTATTACCTTGCCTCTCTAAAAATGATAATTCAGCAGCACCAGGAAGAGGTCAGATGTCTTGGGGTTCCATAAGGAAAAACAGGGGTTTCTCCCAAAAATGGAATCTGGCACCTTCTCTGTTTTCTTTAAGGAATCTCAGGCTGTTAGAAATCATTTTAGATCCCTCATGCAGCAGAGGGGAGGGCAAAAGGAAGGAGAGACAGGAAGAAATATAGAGAAAACAGAATTCAGTCAACTGAGAAGAAAATGGCCTTTATGTTTTTTTCTTTCTATGACTTTGTTGTTTTTGGAGAAAAGGTGTTTTTCTTCTCAGTGACTGAATTCTAGAGGAACAGTCACTTATGCCTTAGTCTGGTTTGGTGAATCTGCATTTTTCCATAAACAATAGGGCAGAGGAAGCAATCAGGTATCAAATTGTCTCAGGTTGTTAGCGCTGGAAGACATCGGAGTTACCCCGTGTTACTGGTGGTGAATCCGTACGGGTCCACAGTAACTTCAGTCCTTACCTCTTCAGAAGAAAGAATTCAACTGAGGGTCATAAAACAGAAAAAGAGACTGAAGCAAGTTTCAGAGCAGAAGTGGAAGTTTATTTAAAACGCTTTAGAAAAGGAAAGAAAGGAAAATTTGCTTGAAAGAGACCCAAGCAGGCACCTTAAGGTACAAGAGAGAAAAGAGAGCAAAAGCAGATAGCAGAAAGGCCCTTTAACCTTGATCCTTGGACTTTATAGGCTTGCCTTTTTCTCATGATTCTTCCCTTAGGGTGGGCTTTCCACATGCTCATTGCTTTCCTTACCCTACGGAATTGAGCATGCGCAATGTGTTTAGGGAATTATACGTATGCTCATCTGAGGCTTTCTTTCCTTTTCCAGTGGAGTGTGCCCGTGGAAGATCATACTTCACCATTTTTGTCTCTTAACACGCATGCCCAGGAAGTTGCTTCCCCTGGGACCTGCATTCACTTAACATTTTGATGTTAACAGGTATGGACCATCAGGAAACAACATCTTCCTGGTGCTGCTGAATTATCATTTTTAGAGAGGCAAGGTGATAATTGCTGAACCATCACCCGACATTTCCAGTGGGTTGGGTAGAGCCCTCTCCTGCCCAGCTCATGCCTAACTACCTGTAATAAGGTGAGCAAAGGGATGACTTTGAGTTCTGTCCTTTGTCCAGCATCTGTGAAGATAAGCTATCA